GTCTCTGTGTTCAGATTTGCTTTTAAATGTTTTTTTTTAATAAAGAACTTGCTTTTTTTCTCTTTATTGATTTTTTTGCACACGTGTAAAACTTGTATTTATTTTCAATTTTTTTATTTAGGTTATGGCTAATGTGTATTAATTATATATATGTGTGTATATATATAAATATGTTTATATATGTGTATATATGTATATCATTTCATTATATATGTATGTGTATAATTTTTAAAATTTTATTTTTATTATTATTATTATTTTATTTTTATTTTGTATTAATTAATATTATTAAATATTATGGATTGATGATGTGGCAGATGACTAGTATGCCATGTCAGTATTAAATAATATATTTTTTCGTTCAGGGTTTTATTTGCCAATTTTTAAAAGTATAGAGTTTTAATTTCCAATTTTTAAAAGTACAATGTTTTTTGGATAAAAAAAAAGTATAGGGTTTAAATTGCGACGAGAGAAAAGTATAGGGTTTTAAATGGAATTATCCTAAATTTTTATAAACGGACAATAGTTCGGGTAGATTTAATTTTATAACGAGACATTAAAAAGTTTTAATTAAAATTTTATAAAATTCATAAAAAAATTAAATATTTTTAATTAAAAAGGGGGGGAATGTGACCCCATTCCTTTATAAATGGTCCGTCCAAACCCGATTGCTTAACAAAATTCGTGTATTTAACTCATAGGAACATAAATCATTTAGATTCTAAATATATAAGAAAAACAGGCTATTTCAAATATTAGGCTATAGAGCTTCTATTAGATTTTGTATGTAACTATTATAATTAGTTAATATTAATATGAAATAAAGGAGATAAGTAAGCAAAGTGTCCACGATTTTGTTGTTCAAGATTGAATAAAGTATTACATATACTCTACTGTTTATTTGGTATCTTTATATAATTTTTTTATTTTTATTCGGGTGCATGGTCATATGTCCACTAAGACATGCACCTTGCTTTTATTGATGCTCTACTTTTCTCACACAAGGGTTGAAGAAATTGATTTTTTTTATTTTCTGTTTCAATAATATTGAAAGAATGTATTCAGATTGGATTGGTTAGAGCAAAATCATTCGAATATCCATTTAAAGAAAACATTCGTATAAATTTCTTCGCTCTTTTAACAAATATAGTTTTATTGAACACACAAAGAATTTTTGAATTATAAAAAAATAGAAAAAATCCCAAAAAACACTGAACTTTCAAATTTGACAAAAAAACACTCAACTTTTATTTTATCAAATCAATATTAAACTTTTTAAATTTGAAAAAATAAACGCTTAATTTTTCTACTATTGTCAAAATAAATAAAATGAATAACGTGACACAATGAAATGTAAACATATCAGATTATTTTATTAATTTTTTTACAATCGAAAAAAGTTAATATATTTTTTTGAATCACTAAAATAGTTTAGTATTTTTTTATAATCGCAGAAAAGTTATGTATTTTTTGGATCACTTAAAAAGTTTAGTGTTTTTTAGATTCGTTTAAAAAGTTTAATGTTTATTTAACAAAAAGAAATAAAATTGAGTGTTTTTTTTCAAAATTGCAAAGTTCAGTATTTTTTTTTGGATTTTTCCAAAAAAATATTGAAAAACTATTTTGTTTTTTTTAAAAAAAAAAAAAATCTGATACAAGATTCATCCTAATTGAACTAGAGAATAACTTATTTACTGTCTGTCAAAATATATTGCTCAATAAGGAAAAGAGAAAACCTATATTGGGCCTTTCCGATCATTCCCAAAGCCCAAATGCTATGTTTATTGGGCTTTTAATAGGTTTCAAAAAAATCAAAGCATAACCCAAGACAACGGGACTTCAAACTCTTTTAGGCGTGAACATATCATCAGAATTACAGTGTCGTTACATGGTGATTATATAGATAATAATCTTAAATTTATAATAGTTTTATCAAATGATTAGTTTGATATATAATAAATGAACATAGTGAATTAGTGTGATTACTATAAATTTAATATTATGACCAATATAATTAACATGTGATTAGAGTGTAATTCTAGTCATATAAAATCAAAATAGTATATAGAATATATTTTTGATAATGTCCAATCAAATTCGCACGGGCGAGGTAGAGGACTTGAAGGGATCATCGATATAGGGTTTGTGATCTCAAAGGGTGTGTTTTGGAACTTTGTCTCTGTGTTCAGATTTGCTTTTAAATGTTTTTTTTTAATAAAGAACTTGCTTTTTTTCTCTTTATTGATTTTTTTGCACACGTGTAAAACTTGTATTTATTTTCAATTTTTTTATTTAGGTTATGGCTAATGTGTATTATTATAAATTTATATTTTTTTCATGACTTTTTATATATAAACTAGATAATATGACCTCTAATATTTTGAATCTAGAATCTAGATATATTAATCACCAGATAATGTCAAATTATTTGTGAGTAAAATAAGTTGCAAGCTTTGTTAATTGTGAGTAAAGTAATGACGACAAAGCAATCAAATGATTAACGAAAAAAAATACTATTATCGTTTAAGTTTCGGAGATGTGATTTAACAAATAATTAGATCATCATTCATAGGTATTCTGATTAGTAAAAAAGTTGTAAAATAAAAAAAAGTTAATCGGAAGGGAATTGAACCTAAATAGTAAATATAGATTACTTACGATTAATTGATTCACACCATAAAAAAGTAAATATTCAAAGCTTATATATATATATATGTATGTATCTTTTTTTATGGCGTAGACTGGCATTGTATATAATATATATATTAGCCAGGAATACGTGGAGCTAAAGCCTAAAGATGTGACTTCATAGTACCGACCATGACCCATGCAACATCCAACCATTTAAAAACAAAATAAAAAAAAAACATTTTTATTTGCTCAAAATTTAAAATTGATCATTCTTTATTAAACAATTAGAAGTTGATTTTTTTAACGGTCCAATATGGTTGAAATCGTATTCCAAACTTTTTAATATCAACAAATCAAAACTTTTAAAAAAGATGCACAAAAATGTATATACTAAATAAAATGCCGACCTTGACTTGGCATCTTCATTTCATATAAAAATAAAATATAATTCCCAATAAAAAAAAAAGATTGTCTGAAATTAAAACAGATTCCATTTTTGACGGCTAAAAAGTAAAATCATCGGTAACTATCGACCACAGAAAATAAAGTTCACATGGGCTGCTCCTACACTGTGAATTACTTTCCATATACTTTCTTCCTTTCCATTATTAATTTTTCGATTCAAAAACAGATTTTTATGCAAATCTAAAGATTTGATATTTGGTGCGTCTCAAACATGTATATTTTAAAAAACCCATATATTTGTTTTTGATAATATCATGATTCGAATTCTGGATTGTGAACAACACTTTGTGTTTCCACCACCACGAGACCACCAACTCTTAACAAAACTCATATATTTTGTTCTATAATATGCATGTATATTATTAGACAATTTCCTAGAGATATTAAATCCTGATCGAATGGATATATAAATATGATTTAGTGGACCGAAATAGATGTCGCATATAATATATTTATATATAAAAAAAATTAAGTTGATATGAATTATTTGATTGAGATGTATAGTTTAGAAAATATTGTAACTTTTATTTTCTTGTATCACCACTCTACCTCTAAATATTTGACGGATTCCACAACCCACTAATGACCATAGCCCATGATATTAGAAAATTTGCAAGATGCAATATTAGATTTGATGGCAAATTAATGATTCCCCACTGGATCTATATGATCTTCTTGCAAGCTTCTCACCATTGTAAAAGGGAACTATTTGTTAAATAAATAAATTAACATTTCCCCCTAAAATGGGTTGGAATAAAGAAGTTGAACATTTCTGTTCTAAGGGAGCAATATTGTTACTTAGAATGTATTAAATTAACAAATATTTTCGTAAAAACATTCATTTTGTTTGCCTATGAAGTAGGAGTGGGGTAGGGATGTGGAGTTTGATTCGAGAATTTAGTTTTGAACCATACCGATCCCAATGGATTTGGGTTCGATTCGGTATTTTATAAATAATTTGAACGGTACGAAATTTAGAATATCGTATAGTATTTCGGTATTTTTATTTTTATTTTTAGTTTTTTAATTAATATATATATCTATTTTATTTATTTACGATGACAAACAAATTTATTGGAATCCACTAAAAACTTCATTTATTTATTTTAAATAAAATTAATAAACTCCAAAAATTTTCTTTTCTTCAGGTTTTGATTATCTCCTCCTCCATGTATCATGATTTATATGCTTTATTTTGAGATCCAAAAATATTATGTTGGATTTTTTATTTTTATCTTTACATGAGCTATAAATAAGTTACAAATTTTGCTATAAAAACCCGAACCATCTCGAACCCGTTTTGATTTTGGTTTTTATTTGGTAAAACTGTATCATAACCGAACCGATAGCAATATTGAATCGAACCGAATTTAATAAAAACCGATACTAATTTAATATAAATTTTATAATACCGAATAAATTGTTTCTGAACCAAACAGTTAAAATTATAAACCGAATAACTAAATGCAACCCCTAATATGAAAGGATAAATGAATATTAGATATAAATGATAAAGTCATAAGATATTTTTCTATTATGCAGTGTCATTCATGCCTTGAACACAATAATCCATTAAAAAAACTAATTTTAAAATAATTTCACAAAATTAAATGAAATAGAACAATAACAGAAATAATTATATATATATATATATATATTTGTATAATTTATTACGTACGCCCCTCCACGAGAGAAACTGAACAAAGAAAAACAATTAGTATATCGAATCAATAATAATGACATTCAAACTTAATTATAAAATAAAACACTAATTAATTAATAATTACTATAATCAATTATTAATGTCTTCCCATAGTTTTAATCCACTCTTCGTCAACTCTTTACAAGTAACATATATATATATATATATGCATATATATATGATACACCATCACATCTCCTAACCCATGAAGCTCTAATCACTAATTTCTTTGTTTTTTTCCCATCATACAAAGAAAACCCCCATGTTTTTTTTCGAGTTTCCAAATGAATCAGAGGTAGATTCGTGATTAAATACGTGATGGAAGTGAAGGAGGGGAAAGGAAAAGAACCGAGCTTGATCGTGAAAACATGGAAGAGGTGCAAGTCCATGGGGAACCCGAAGACGGCGGCGGCGGCCGATGACGGAGAGAGACGGAGGTGGCGGCGCGTGAGAGCACCTGGGGGATGTTTCACGGTGTACGTGGGTCCACAGAGGCAGAGGTTCGTGGTTCGGACAGAGTACGCTAATCACCCACTCTTTAGGGTTTTGCTGGACGAGGCCGAGTCGGAGTTTGGTTTCACCAGCGACGGACCATTGATGTTGCCATGCGACGTGGTTTCGTTCCGGGAGTTTCTGGCGGCGATGGACGATCGTGAGATCGCCGGAGATTTGATCGGACGGCCAGGATGCCACCGGCGAGGGTTGTCGGGATGTGGGCTTCTCAGTCCTTCTAAGATTGGGATTGGGACTACTACTTATCAGTCTCGGAGGAAATTTAGTTATCATAGTATTGAAGCTTATAATTATTAGAGTTCTTTAAAATAAATCACGAATGTAACCAAGTTCTATATGTGATTAATATCATATATGAAAATGGTATGTTCTTAACATTTTTATTTCGTCTTAAGCTCTGTTTTGGTATATCTTTTATTTTTATTATTGAAATGAACTCTTTCACTCCCCCATTTGATTGTTTATTTTTAGGAAAAAATATGTAAATAATTACATCAATTTTACACATATATAAATAAATATTAAAAATACTAATAAAATATCTCAATTTTTGAAATTGAAAATAATTTTCTATGCATCGATCCATGACATCATTAATATTCAAGTATAGAAATGTTTTTTAATTAAAATACATTGAAATAATTTCAAACAATTTGAATAGAATCATCAACAACGTATTTGAAAAATCAAAGTATTGTTTTTACATATTTAACAACGGTATATTTATATATAAGATTAGATTGTTAAATTGGTGAAGAAAACACCAAATCTATCTCGCAATCCCAATTCGGGTCTGCACTTTGAAAAAGATATTCACATAGCTTCTTCTATCTTGTGAAAGATACAATCAAAATCCAGGTAAAACGTCGGATTATATATATATATAAAAATTAGTATATTTATTTTTCAAATTTAAATTTTATATTTTTTTTACATTTTGGAAAGTGGGATTTTCTCTTTATTTTATTCGACGACATATTTCGTTTTAGCAGATTGGTCCACGTGTTGCAGTTGCTGCCGCCAGGCCACGATAATGTAAAAATTTTCATGTTGGGATAATCTATTTATCGATGATTAATATTGTAATAATATTGTTTGGGGTTGGGGATTTAACTTTTAATATCGGGACAATATGGCATCAGATTAGGACTTTTAATCATGGAGACGTCGAGATGGGCCCGATAGAGAAGCCCAGTCAGTCGTCAAACTTGGCTTCTCGGGGGAAGTGAAAACGCCTTGTTGTTTCCGTCTCGTTAAACGGCATGCATTCGATTTCATTCAACAGGGACACGTGGCAAATACCCAAACGAAGGAGCATCTAAAGAACCAAGCCGCGTAGCACGTGATTACAATGGAAGATTCCAGTAGAACGAGAGGCCTATAAGGCGCGAAAGATATCTCCCCGCAGAATCTTCTAGAAGGTTTCCTATCCTTCTCAGAGTTTCCGTTATCGCTTCATATAAACTTCCTCCTCCTTCTGAAGACAATCCATAAACATTTATCTGATTTACCCGAGAAAGTGACAGAAAAAAAGAAAAAAACATGGATGATTCATTCTTCGGAAGTCACTGGAATGCTCCATTTTATACGGTGCGAAAGAGGCCGAGTGCGAGGGGGATGCCCCCAGCTTCGTCGCCGCCGCGTTCCTCCTCTTCTTACGGCGGAGCCTATCGTAGACGAATGCCTTCTCCAGCTGCTCGACTCGCTGCGACAGTGAACTCAGTAGCCGAGTCTGCAACTCGTTCCGATCGAACAGCTGCGCCATCATCTCCATCATCCTCTCGTTTTCCTCCATCATCCTCTCCAGCATCTCCTTGCTCTTCTCCTTCCCTTCGCCTCTGAAGCGTGAAGAAGATAGCGGATGTGAGAAGGGCGGTGGAAGAGATAGAGAAGAGAATGTCGGCGAAAGAGACGGTGGATTTGATGCGGAGAGATTCGAGAGAGCGTTTGGGAATGAGCGAGATGTTGATGAATTTGTTGTTAAGGTTGGACTCGGTGAGAGGAGTGGATCCCGGTGTTAGGGATTACAGGAAGACGGTGATCAGGAAAGTGATCGCGTTGCAGGAGACGTTGGACGCCATTGTTACCGTCGAAGAAAGTTCCGCCGCTGAAACCACCGGTGAAGAAACGATAGAGATGGTGCAAGTTCCGATGGAAGAAGAAAACCCCTCGGATCCATGCCCCGCGGCTCAATTCGAAGACAATAGCCCCGATCTCGTCGAAGTAGCAACAGAAACAGATGGAACCCAAGTTCCTCAAATTCAAAAAGAACTTTATACAGAGAAATCTCCAGAAACCAGTCACGAAAACGAAAGAAATGAAGCCGAGGGAGAGAGAATGGAGGAGATCGAGCGAACAGAGAGCCAAACAGATTCGTCTGCAAATCCAGAAATCCCTGAGGAAGAGAACGAGAAGCAGCAGCTACGGACTGAGGAGGAAACCAGAGGCGAAGGGAAGGAGAAGAGCAAGGAGATGCTGGAGAGGATGATGGAGGAAAACGAGAGGATGATGGAGATGATGGCGCAGCTGTTCGATCGGAACGAGTTGCAGACTCGGCTACTGAGTTCACTGTCGCAGCGAGTCGAGCAGCTGGAGAAGGCATTCGTCTACGATAGGCTCCGCCGTAAGAAGAGGAGGAACGCGGCGGCGACGAAGCTGGAGTCGCCGGAGGGGAAGAAACCCGGTCGAGGGTAGAGAGGATACTCGTGGTTCCCGTTCATTTGTGTATTTATAATCTCAGTTTGTTTGGGCTTCGTATTGGGTCATGTTTTGAGCCACGTGATAAAAAAAAAAAATATGTATCGGTTATGTCAAATTTGAATTTTTTTTGGAATGAAACTATATAATATTGGGTGGCCAAAAAAAATGGTAACATTAAATTATATATTATATTGGAGGAATTTTTGACTGAGTTTGGTCTAATATCATATTTTATTTAACTAACATTGTTTAAGAATCGAATAGTTGACATAGGGTTTGACTGGTTGTAACGTTGCGGTTGCGGGTGATGTCAAATTTGAATTTTTTTTGGAATGAAACTATATAATATTGGGTGGCCAAAAAAAATGGTAACATTAAATTATATATTATATTGGAGGAATTTTTGACTGAGTTTGGTCTAATATCATATTTTATTTAACTAACATTGTTTAAGAATCGAATAGTTGACATAGGGTTTGACTGGTTGTAACGTTGCGGTTGCGGGTGATAGCGTTTTCAAAACGTTTGATAGCGATTATAAATGATTAGTACTGACTGGTTGAGAAGTTGCTGTTGATAGCGATTGCGAGTGGGTGCAGTTAGAAGTGAATGGTTCATTACGGTTGCGGTTGCGTTTTGATATAAATTGTCAAAAAAAATATTAAAATATAATACTAAAAAATAATATCAAATCATAACATTAAACAAAATTATCACCAATATATATATTAATATTTTATATAATTTCTAATAAAAATATTTTAGTTTTTTTGTCAAAACGCCGGAAACCGCTACCAAAACGAAGTTGGAAGCTGCGATTAGAAAACACAAGTTTGGTTGCGGTTGCGGTTGGTTGCGGTTCAACCATTCAGTTTTTCAATCGTCCGCAACCGCCGAAAATCGCAACCGCTCCGTTTGCGGGTGGCGGCGGTGCAACCAGTCGGTCCCATAGATGATTCAGCATCTTTGTCCTTTAATCAGAGGTCAGGGGTTCGAACCCTATTTTGAAAATGAAATTATCTTTCAGACCAGTTCTTTATCGTTTAGTGCGTTGATCCAGGAATGAGTGAAGATTAGTCTGAATATGCAAGACTTAAAGATGTCGGTTTATAGTTGAACGTCGTTCAGGACCATCTCGTGGTATAACAAAAAAAAACAAAGGGTATATTTGACACTTCATTTGATCATGCCGACAGTAATAATCCCCACTAAACGTATTAATGGAAACCATCTTAAACATGACTAACATGGTGTTTGTTTCTAATTATCTCACAAGTTATAAGATTAACCCCTTTTATTTAAACTTTTTTGTTTAATAAAACTATTAGCTCTAATCTATTTTTAATATAAATAAATATAAAAGAAAAAAATTAGTAAATATTGTAGTTCCGTTGTGAAGTAGTTCACTGAACTTCAACTCAGCTCAATAGGACTTTTACTCAAATTCAAAATTTGTTAAGGTACTAATTATTTTCTGTTTGGTTATAGATTTTGACAAAAGAAAAATTTGATCATTTATGTACATCTATTTATATATATCTAATCAAAAGAAAATGAAATTTATGTTGTTAAGTCTGAGAGATTTGTGTTTTTGCAACATGATAGTAATTATGAAATTTGAATAATAGTGATAATTGAATTTGAAGAAAAATAAACACGAGCCTCGCTTCCCTTCACCCTCCGAGCCTATGCTGATGCATTAATTTTTTTCCCTTCTGCCGCATATGCTTTGATGAGTATCCGTTGGATTTGGAATCTCGTAAGAAATTCAATGATGATTTGTGTTTGTGAGTCTGATTTGGGTATAACAAGTTCTGGAGATCTCAGGACAAGAGAAAATAAAAACAGAGGTTTTTGTAAAAAGTTCTCCTTACATTTCATATGTGGTCGACCAATGTATATATACAATTTGTAAAATGTACAAAATAAAAAATGGAAATACAAATACAATCGTAACAAACCTATACAGCTCAGGCTATAGATTAGGACAACTACAAACACACAAGGAAAAAACAGACAACCTAGGTGTATGCAATCTCCAATGTTATAACGGTGATCAGTAAAGATGCAACCAAATTAACGTAGTAACAACCATATTTGATACTCTCCCTCAAGATGAAGAATACAAATGATGTATTCCCATCTTGGAGAGAAGATATCTGAATCTGTCCACTGCTATAGGCTTGGTCAATAAGTCTGCTAACTGTTCTGTACCAGCAACATGTAAGGGTTTGATGTTGAATGTTATAACGGTGATCAGTAAAGATGCAACCAAATTAACGTAGTAACAACCATATTTGATACTCTCCCTCAAGATGAAGAATACAAATGATGTATTCCCATCTTGGAGAGAAGATATCTGAATCTGTCCACTGCTATAGGCTTGGTCAATAAGTCTGCTAACTGTTCTGTACCAGCAACATGTAAGGGTTTGATGTTGAAGTTATCTACGGATTCCTAGCATGCGATCATATCGATCTAGGGTTTGGTTTACTAGGTTTCATGCAGCGGAAGAAAAATCTAAACCTAGTCAAACGTCACACGCAACCAAACTCACAAAAACCGAAAGATCGTGTATATCACCGAGGGAATCGTTACTTACCTCGTTCTCGATGAGACTTGAAGTTTATTTCGATCCGGGGCCTGTTCTAAATCACCAAGAGCTGAAAGTACAGCTCCTCTACACGTATCCACACCGACGGGAAGGATTCCAAACGATTTGGAACGAATCTGCTAGGATTAGTGAAGAAAAGGGTAACTCAAGAGACGAGATCCAATCCTGGGACAATAGAAATCAAAGAGAACAACTTCTCTAGGGTTCTAGGATGTTTCTCTGAGTTTTAGGTCGGCCTTAATTAAGTTTGGACGAAACCCCAAACTTAAATAAGATTAGAAAACCCTAAAAACGAATATTTGGAAATTTTCCGGATCCCGGTCCGCCGGACCAGGAGCTTGGTCCGGCGGACCAAGCTTAGTCCGAGGTCCACAGACCGGCTGACCTGAAGGCTTGGTCCGGCGGACCACGTGTGGTCAGCTCCGGACCAAGACCCTTCTTGGTCAGCTCGATCCGACTTGTCATTGCACTGAAAACTCCTTTTCATGCTCTTTGGTCAAATCTCGTTTCCATTCTTCGTATTCTTCACGTAAAAGTCCATCTCTATTGGTGTGTGACCCTGTAGGCCCATTCTAAGTGGTAGTGACTTTAGGAACTTTTCCCGAACCACAAGTCATGGTTAGCCTCTAGCAAGACGCCATGACCACCCATTTAGAATTGAGTTAGAGGTGATCTAACCACGGCATTAACAGCTCGAATTCTGATCCTTTGTCTCACGATATCATAAGTTGAACAAGGGCATGATTTGAGCAACCCTTCAAGTTCAAATACTTTCTCGTCTTGGCAAATCGACTAATAAAATAGATGCAACTTCATCTATAGCGTGGCCACGCGTTTTCATAGTCCGACTTCCACGAGAGGGCCCAGCGATATCTCTCCTGTTAAGGAGGTGACAAGTCCCATATTGCATGTCTACTATCTCCATATGATTCGTGAACGTATCTGATCAACGCTGTTATAATCATCCGGTTAAAGACGACGTTTGACGCAGTCAAGACACGTCACTCCTCATATCAGATACTCTAGACATCTCAGGTATGAGGATCCATAAATGAACCGCTGTATGAGATTCAAGTCATGACTCTGTCCATGTGACAATCTCATGCGGGTCATCCAGTCACTCGTTCACAACGAGTACCCATGACTGTGATCTACATCCAATGCGTTGATCACACCTCATGCTAGTCTTCATTCAACATTGTTCCCACAATGATGACTGACTAGGGAGTTTAGAATCATTCTCTAATGATTCAAGGATGCCGAAATACAACAAACATGCTAATCGTATAACGGATAAATAATGCATTCATAAATCAATGAATCAATACAAAGTCAAATGTCATATCATGGATCATCCTAGAGCATTACAACCAACATTTGAGGAAACCTGACTTGATGTGCTCCTGGACATAATGACAGTGCAATTCGATGTGTTTGGTACGCTCATGATATACCGGATTGTTAGCTATGTGTATAGCAGACTTACTATCACAGAATAAGGTGATAGGATGCGGAAAATTGAACCTGAGCTCGCGAAGCAGAGAGTTGAGCCAAACAAGTTCACAACAGGTCTGAGCCATGGATCTGTATTCAGCTTCAGCTGAACTTCGAGAGATAGTTGTTTGCTTTTTAACTTTCCAAGATACCAAAGAAATGCCAATGAATATACAATACCATGTCACAGATCGTCGGGAATCAGGACAACTAGCCCAATCAGCGTCACAAAACCCACTGAGAGAGATTGGAGAATCAGATGAATAAAGGAGACCTTGAGCATGATCAGTTTTGAGATAGCGCAAAATGCGTATTGCTGCTTGTAGATGTGTTGTCCGTGGTTGAGCCATATATTGGCTCAATTTGTTCACCGAGAACCCAACGTCGGGACGAGTAATGGATAGGTAAATTAATTTACCAATCAGTTTTCTGTATACTGTAGCATCAGGAAGCAAGTCTCCTGTATCCTGACTCAATTTTAAGTTCAACTCCATAGGAGAACCAAGAGATTTACAGCCACACGATTCTAAGGCGTATTTATGTTGACAGATGTAAATGCCTTGTGTGGAATGTGCAATCTCAAGGCCCAAAAAATACTTGATGTCTCCCATATCTTTAATACGAAAATTGGAACTCAAAGCAGCCTTTAGATCTACAATCATGGCTATATCATTCTCAGCAATCATAATGTCATCTACATAAATCAATGCAGCCACAAAACGAGAACCAACTGTCTTCAGAAATAGAGAACTATCAGCAACTGATTGAAGATAACCAGCTTCAAGGAGTACCTGATTAAGCTTCTGATTCCATTGGCGGGAAGCTTGCTTTAGATCATATAAGGATTTGTTGAGTTTACACACAACATTAGGATGAACAGACTCCC